CGTATTTTTTACTTTGATTCCAGTTGTCCCACACCATTAATTCTCCCTTCACCGCATCGTCTCATCGACCTCTGTCTTGGTTTTATGTTTTTTTGCTTGTACGATCTGGCCTGCAACTGTCTCGTTCGTACTGATGTGTTTGTGCTGACTCACCTATCCCGTCTCATCTGAACTGTCCGTCTCGTGAATTCTGTCTCGTGTGTTCTTTGTCGCCATTCCGAAGGTTCACCTCTTGTGGATCCGGGCGGCAGGGTTGCGGGAAGGCCATTGCCCCCATGCCCCCCCCCGGATTCCACAAGTTGCGAATGTTCTGAACGGAGGGCGCCCTGAGCTCCACCTCCTCTCCTCCCCTGGCACGTTCTGTTCTTCGGGGCGGGTGGGTGAGTGGGGGGCGAGTGGGCGGGTGGGCACGCTCGCGCACCCCGCTTCGCCCGGGACGGGTGGCAACCATCGCTCCTCAAGTGGCTCCGCGGGCGGCGTTTGGCGACTCGGCGGATCCGAGTCCCCGCGCCGCGCAGCACCACCGCGGGGCGACCTCTGCGGGCGCGGGGAGGGGGGGGACGCGGCGCTCTCGCAGGGCTGGGCTGGGGACGCGCGCGGCGGTGTTACCCGCGGTAAACACCGCGGTTAACACCGTCACGGGCACAGGCCATTCCTCGCACCCATCTGTGCGGCGTCTGTAGCTGCCCCCCCACGCTCCCCCCCACGCTGCCACTTAACGCGTGCGCTTTCATCTGAATTCTGCGCCAATCACAACGGAAACACCAAGCTCCATTCACGCGATCGAATTGCGGCACAGAGGACCCAATTATTGCAGCGGTATCCCTCTTATCGGCGGCGGTGTGGAGACCAATATCTCCGTTCCTATTATCCGCGACGTTACACCAATTCCACTCTGCCATGTGAACAAAAAAATAGTTTGGATAATTTCATGAACATATCGATGAAGTCCACTTATCCGCAAAAAATAATAACATGAGTTTTTTCGCAATGGCACAACGCGCGTTCTGGGGAACAAAGGGCTGCATTTTTCGGAGATAGGTGGACGAGCATCACAGTAAGTACTGTGTGTTCAACACAGCGCATGCAATGTGCGTTCAACACAGCGCATGCGATGTGTGTTCAACACAGCGCATGCCACGTGCGTTCAACACAGCGCATGCCACGTGTGTTCAACACAGCGCATGCCGCGTGTGTTCAACACAGCGCATGCCACGTGTGTTCAACACAGCGCATGCCACGTGTGTTCCACACAGCGCATGCCATGTGCGTTCAACATAGCGCGTGCAATGTGTGTTCAACACAGCGCATGCGATGCGCACGGTATGCTGACAGCGATGCGCACGGTATGCTGACAGCGTGAGATTCCCGGGGAGGGGGAATAAATGTCCGTGAGCAGACAATTCAACGCCGCTTTCATCCACTGCCCTTGCGACAAGTTGAGTTCGATTTGGACTTAAACCTGTGTGGATAATAGGGAGCGGTTGCACACGCCTGCCTCCATTAAATATGGCGCTTTATGATTCCACCTCTAGATGTAGGTTTTATTTTGGCTCACGTCAAACCCATCGGACAAGAAGTGATCATTTTCGATTCGGACCGGGTTCAATGAAGGCCTCCCCCACGCCATGGAGGCAATGCGCGTTGTTTGACCAAACTTAATCACCCTCGTCATTGCAGATTCGTGAAGGGGGATCCCTGGAACAGGTCAAATGCCACTCGTCACTGATGTCAGCGGTGGCCGGGAATCGAACATGGCTGGCCTGGGTCATGACGCAGTGCGTTGACCACTCCTCCACCCGTGTCCATCTCCGACTCGCTCGCCTGCGACAGGACCGTGGGTTGGAGTTGATGTGCGAGTGACAATTATTCCCTGGGTTGTGCCCATGAGTGATTCCAGGATAAACGCGCGACTGCTATAAATCGTGATCTCTTCCTGTTGCCATGCGGCGAGGTGCCCACGTGCGAGGTGTCCACGTGCGAGGTGTCCACGTGCGAGGTGCCCACGTGCGAGGTGCCCACGTGCGAGGTTCCCACGTGCGAGGTTCCCACGTGTGAGGTGTCCACGTGCGAGGTGTCCACGTGCGAGGTGCCCACGTGCGAGGTGCCCACGTGCGAGGTGTCCACGTGCGAGGTGTCCACGTGCGAGGTGTCCACGTGCGAGGTGTCCACGTGCGAGATGCCCACGTGCGAGGTGTCCACGTGCGAGATGCCCACGTGCGAGATGCCCACGTGCGTGATGTCCCACGTGCGAGGTGTCCACGTGCGAGGTGTCCACGTGCGAGGTGTCCACGTGAGAGGTGTTCCACGTGCGAGGTGTTCCACGTGCGAGGTGCCCACGTGCGAGGTGCCCACGTGCAAGGTGCCCACGTGCGAGGTGTCCACGTGCGAGGTGTTGCACGTGCGAGGTGTTCCACGTGCGAGGTGCCCACGTGCGAGATGCCCACGTGCGAGGTGCCCACGTGCGAGGTGTCCACGTGCGAAATGTCCACGTGCGAGGTGCCCACGTGCGAGATGCCCACGTGCGAGGTGTCCACGTGCGAGATGCCCACGTGCGAGGTGTCCACGTGCGCCCTATTTGGCCCGGCCGTGTTGGAGACACTTCCCCTTAATTCCGGAGCGCCGTAATTCACGATGCTATATCGGTGTCACGCACAAGTCGCATGCGTGAGTTAAACTATATATAGTCGCACATTCGTAAACACGATTACTATAAGCCAGGGGTGGGGAACGTCCGGCCCGCGGGCCGTATAAGGCACCGCGAAATCATTTGGGTCTGGCCCTGCCAAGGCTACCGCAGGCGGGACTCGAAATTCAATACATCTCGGAGCAAACGTGTAAAAGCAGTCGCGAGTAGCAACAACATCATCAATGCCAGCTAACATCACACGCCTCACCAAAGAGAAGCAGTTCCAGCCATCACATTAGGGGTGAGTTAATTAAATGTTTGACCAAATATAACGGGCTAATTTTTAAGTTGATCATTTTGTATGGCCCGCGAATGATGTTACATAAATATCCAAATGGCCCTTGGCAGGGAAAATGTTCCCCACCCCTGCATAAGCAGTGCTCTCTCTGCAGAGTGTTAAAACTGACGATTATTTGTCTGCTCTTAAATGCTTCTTATAAAAACAAATCAACGTGATTCGAACGTTTGTGATCTCGCCTCGGGTTTGACTTCAGCACCCAGTGTCTCACAGGTCGATGCACGAGGATGGATTGGATGTATACCGATTGCACAGCACTCTGGAGCTCAGGCCAACGTCGCCAATATACTACACGACAACATAACACACGACGAATTGCCTGATGATGCTGGATGTAATTACCAGCGAAACGTCGTACTCAAACTGTAAATGTTGTGGATTCACTCTTCAACATACCGGTGGGCTAAAGTAGTGAACTATTTGTCTTTTGTCAACGTGACACTTTTTTGCTGATTGGCCGTGTCGGGTGGTGGAGGGTTACTATACATTTATACTGGTAGGAACGAAGTTGTAAACTGAGTGTACCAGCCTGCAATAGATGAATGTGTCCGTCCGTCCCCTTTCAATACTTTAACGAAGTGAAATCTCGTGCTGTTGGGTGTAAAATCAGCAATAGCGCAGAGACTTGTTTTACCAGCCCACCCTGCAGGGACCTGTTTAATAACGCCATCTAACCCAAAAACCTTTATTATGAATAGTATTGGTCGCGAAAGCCTACCGTCTTAAAATGGCCATGATTTTGCAATTCACGATCTTAATGCATCGTTCCTTCCCTAATTTACGATTGCTCCGATCGAATAACACCGAGAGGCACAGCAAGAGGAACGTCTGGATTAGGAAGCCTCGCGCAAAGTTAGAGACGTCGTGTTGAGTGCCAAGACGCGTACGCTCGTACTGGGCAGGACGAACGTCGCGAGTGGGAACAGATCTCCGCGCGGCGGGAATGGACTCGTACCGAGATCTGGTGACGGTCTTGCGTTGAACTTTACTTTAGGATACTGCGCCGTTCCGATAGACCCGCGTGTGTGAGCGCAGTTGACCTGCAGCCCCCTCCCTCCTGCGCTCTGCTACCCCGAGCCGTACAATCTGCAAGGAGCAAGCGCTCAATGTGTGCGCGGTGTGAGATGCCAGTGGCGGGCCACTTGCTAATGGGCTCCACGTGCACGCGCGATCGCGCGTGGCGAGCGGCGATTCCAGATCGCGGGTGACCGCTGCCCCGGCCCGAACTCCGCTCATTAATAATTATCGCCCATTATCGATCCGCTTCTGTATGAAGGCCTTCCCACGCCCCGTCTGGCGGGGGGAGTTGTTTGACCATACTTCATCGCTCCGGTCAGAGCGGGCTGGTGAAGGAGGTGCGGAAGCCCGGCATTGATTCACGCGTCCCTCACTCCTGATCGTTATCAGTCACCGCTGAAGTTAGCCGTGGCAGGGAATTGAACTCAGATCACGGGTTTAATAGCCCAGAGCTCTAACCTGTAGGGCTTGCCACCCGTTGGTGCGGCGGGAATTGATTCCCCGTGGCCTGTCTCCGTGCTCCCGACGAAGCCAGCGGCCGCTGCTCTTCCATTAACAAGGCAGAGAAGCGGCCAACGCGACGCCTTGCTCCGCTTTTTGTTGCGTTTCGCGTATTCTCCACAACGACCCGAGCGAATGCTGTGTTCTTGTGTTATTGTATGTCCAAATAGGTAGGACCCGCATCTGGGGAGCAGTAGCATAGCGGTTAGCGTACCCGGCGACTCGAGTTTGATTCCCGCTCACGGCCAACATCAGTGGCGATTATCTGAAACGGTCCTGGGCCTCCCCTAGGTCGACTCAGCCTCAAATGAGTACTTGGTGCGGTGTATAAACATCGCCACTAGGGAAGCAAGGGCGGTCGGGCGTGGTGCTGGCCACCTACCCCCTCGTGTAGCGTTTCGGCCTTCATAGGTGCTCGCTAACAGAACTTAGACCAAAAGTGTGTTCAGGCTACATGGGGGATCTTTGTCTTTGTGTGCGTGTGCGTGTGTGCAGGTTAACCGCCCCGATGTCAGGGCACAACTTGAAGATGCAGGCTTCGCCTTTTGAGAAGGCCGGGATATTCTCACGGATTTTTTTCAGGTAAGCGCTGGAAATGTAATCCCAATGTAGTCCCGCGTTCTTCTCGCAGCCGTTGAGTTCTTCATTCCAAGGTGAGAGTTCTGTTCGATAAGTCCTCGCTTAACGCATGTTCACGCAACCCGTTTTCGCTCTAACACGGTTCTTTTTTTCATTATCAGGGAACACTTTCGCACAATGCGGAACGCGCCCGTTATAACGCCGAACGCGCCCGTTATAACGCCGAACGCGTCCGTTATAACGCCGAACGCGTCCGTTATAACGCCGAACGCGTCCGTTATAACGCAGAACGCGTCCGTTATAACGCCGAACGCGTCCGTTATAACGCCGAACGCGTCCGTTATAACGCAGAACGCGTCCGTTATAACGCCGAACGCGTCCGTTATAACGCCGAACGCGTCCGTTATAACGCAGAACGCGTCCGTTATAACGCAGAACGCGTCCGTTATAACGCCGAACGCGTCCGTTATAACGCCGAACGCGTCCGCTATAACGCAGAGCGTGTCCGTTATAACGCCAAACGCGTCCGTTATAACGCCGAACGCGTCCATTATAACACAGAGCGCGTCCGCTATAACGCCAAACGCGTCCGTTATAACGCAGAACGCGTCCGTTATAACGCCAAACGCGTCCGTTATAACGCAGAACGCGTCCGTTATAACGCAGAACGCATCCGTTATAACGCCGAACGCGTCCGTTATAACGCAGAACGCGTCCGTTATAACGCAGAACGCATCCGTTATAACGCCGAACGCGTCCGTTATAACACGGTTTCTGAGTGGTCGACGACGACGTACTACTTTCTTGAGCTGTGTGGCTGAGCGGAATGATACAGTACACGGCGACGTACCCTCATGTCAGTTCTCTGTCTCCCCATGGGATGACTGCAGGTTGATATCATCGTGCAAATGTAATTCAAGAGCAGTAACTCCTCGTTTAACGCGTTTTCGCTGAACGCGACACTTTCAGGAACCTATCTACCGCGTCAAGTGGGAAAACATTCTACTCTAAATCAGGGTCTGTGGGCAGCAGAGGGCAGCTCAGTAAAATGTACGGTTGTATTGAACTGAACTGCCATCATCCGTCTATGCTCGCAACCTTTACCAGCCCGCACTGACGAACGCGGTGAAGTATGAGGCCCTCATCCAGCAGTGGATTGACAAGAGGGGTGCACGTGTGCAGGGTAGAGGGGTGAAGAGGCGGGGCAGGTCACAGAGACGGGCACCGGGAGTGGCACCCAAGACCTGAACCCAGGTGGTGGTGATGCCAGACCGCAGGGCATGGCGCTTGAGATCTCGACTGAGTGCCAGGAGGAGACCTAAAGTCAGACGATGGAAAGCCGTGCGGTCAGATCAGTGTGGGGGGGGGGGGGGTTCACTTCCACTGTGCAGCAGCAGTAGCAGTGAGATGTGCACAGAGGCAGGAAGCGACGTCTGGGTGCGGTCGCATTGACAGTAGCGGTCACAATGACCTCTTGACCTTGGGTAGCCTGTTGAGAAAAAAACTCGTCTCTTGCTGGGAGTATTTAGCGTTACAAGTGACATCGCTTTGGTCACAATTGCAATCACAAAGTGGCACGTAGCATGCAACGCAGCTAAGTGGCACATGCAATAAAACTGAGAGAGACGAGTCGGTACTGGAACTTAATTTACAGTCCTCTGCCAACACACTGCTGGATGAAGGCTTCTCGACCCACGCCGCGTCAGGCATGGGGAACTCTTTGAGCCGAACTTCACCACGCTAGTCATCGCAGGTTGGTGAGCCTGGATGCTTGCCACTGATGTTAGCCGCGGTGAGGGCTCGAACTCGCAGTGTGCCAACCGCTGCACCAATACTCGCCCCCCTCCCCCCTTCGCGGCAATCAACAGGGGTGGTGACGTGGCCGAGTGGTCGCACGTTCGCAGCTCGTTACTGAGGTGCGCGGTTCAAGACCGGCACGCCGCCCTGGTTAATACTGCGGTGTGGTTTTAACCATGAAACACTACGCGCCGTCTGCTCCACAGTGGACGTTAAAGATCCCGTGACGTCATGCGGATAAAACCGATTATGTGCCGGCTTAATGGTCTAAAGCAGGCATTTAGACGCAAAGGAAAATGTCCAAAGGCTGGTATTATCAACAGCCACGTGACCGTTGATAATGCCACGGTGGCCTTGTGGCGGATCGCACCACGCGTAACGAACTTCCCGTGCCTCGTCTCTCCGTATTCAATGTCTGAACATATTTTTGTACACACCCCATGATGCGTGTACAGTGCCGATTACGAGAAGGAATCTGTTAATTGCGACACATATCGTAACTTTAAAGCGCGGTAGGCTGTCGCGATCGTTATTACTAATTGTAAAAGTTGTTTGGGTTCCACGCGTAAATGTGTCGTAGACCCATCTCCGCACGGCACTGCCAATCAGTGAGGTTCATCACGTAAACAACACGTGGCACGTGACCTACCTTACACGCCGCACCTTCGATTAGCACGGTTGGCTACAAAAGGGTGCGAAATAAATTAAATATACATACATGCTAATTTTGCTGTGTTGCGTGGAAGTGGGTGTACAACACACTTACATTTTCTAGATGTAACACAAACAACTTTATCACTGACATAGCATAACTCATGCGCACACAAGCGAACAGTTACGCAACAGCTCACCACGAGTCGTAAAAAAAAAAGTTCCCAAATCACAGAGTTTGTCGTTCAAAGTATCACAGAATGCGAAGGCCGAGTACGTGAGTTGCCAGATTAAAAGCAGCAGCTCTCTGTGGTGGTTGCCTACTCAATCTGTGGCTGTACTTGCAGTCCATTTAACGTCACTCCGACGCTGCTCTTAATGCCGCTGCTGGCACCCGTGCACCCACGGCGGTGCCCACCACGCTCAGAGGGCCCTTTCCGCACGAATAGCGTGGGGTGGGAACTTCGTGGTGGTTGTCGTGCCGTGAGAGGGACCTCTCCCCTCCGCGGACAGCGCCGTTCACGCGCCCCGAGCGCGCAGAGTTATGGCTTTGCGAGATTTACTCGGCGGGGCCTGGGCACCAACGACCCACGGGGGGAGCCGGGAGCCACCGTGGCCCTGTGAAGCGAGGGCGGCGCTGGCACGAGTGAGGTCCGAATTGTCCACTTATTTATTTGAGCATTAATCAAGGCCGAAAGGGGCATTGTGGTTCGCTGGCAAGGTAAACAATCGCCTGTTTACGTCGTAAACTCTTGAGATGAAACCAGCCTCGGGTAACGTGGGCGGGGGGGGGGTCTCGAAGAAGAATGTCCCCCCGATCGCCTCTTTGTGTTCCTCCCTTGTGAAATGTTACATAAAGCGTCCGAGACGCCGAGTCCATAGTCGGTGAACGGTGAGAATTGCAGAAGCCCTCAGCTCCGAGACGGCGACGCCAGACCACACACTGAGCGGAACTGCGCGGTCCCGTGCACCGCACAGCCAAGAGCTGGCCAACCCCTCCCGTCTCCAGCTGCTCTCCCTGCCCTATCGAGGACAAGTCACGGGAGCGGCGTTTTGAACGTTTCCACTGCCGTACGGGACGCGGCTCGCAGCTCGTTTCGTGGCCGGTTATTCCCGTCGGATGTGAGGCATGCCGCCGGGCATGGGATCCGAGTTGTGGACGTTCATGGAAAGGGACGGAGGCCGTGTTTAGAATGGCCACGCGGTGCGCCCTATTACTTTGGCCGTGGCCTCAGTGTCGTTGCCGGCGGCCCTTGATTCTTCGTCGAGACTCAGCCTGTGGGTTTCATGGAGTCGTTCTCTTCGTTTGGTCGACCAACAGAGTCACGAGGGGGCGTTGTACCCACTATCGCCCCTGCCCTTAAAATATGATCATGTCAGCAAAACAGTGAACTAAGTAAAATTTGACATATCCAAACACATGTGACCAATTGGCACGACTGGTCTTGCGTTATCTCAGCCCGTTTCTTCCTTCAGACCCCGTCACCCCGTCTCGTCACGGCCGCTCACAGCGATCCGGCCCGTGTAGAGGGCCCAACATTCTGGTTTACGAATTTCGTGAATAAAATCACGAGTGGTTGCGTGTCGCTTCGGGTTGGTCCGCTGCGCATGAAACGCACTGTGGCGTTAGGCCCAACGCATTGCTGATGTTTCTAGGAGACTTTGCAACACGCGACTCTTGGCAGTGCTTGAAAACGCCGAGCCCAGCGTTTTGCACGAGAGTCGTGGACGTATCAACGTGCTCGTTTTATCCGCGATGTCGCAGATTAAGGGTCGCAGGACGACAAGAGGAAGTTGTTTTGGTTTGATCAATGGGATGGAGAACTCCGCGTATCTAATATTGTGGTTCTGGGAATTAGCGGCCTTAGTTCGTTATGAAAATTGTGCAGTCTGGTGCAATAAGGAAGCTCCGCACAGCAATACCGGTTCCAGATCTCGTCACGACCAAAGTCCTGTCGCCCGAATATTGATGCCGATTCCCGGATTGTACCGGGCAAAAAACCTGTACAGGTGGCAACCCCAGCCTGTGCTCCCCAACCTTCACCAACGCGCACTGACCAGTTTGGTGAAGTATGGTCAAATGACCCCCATGACCCGCACCGCTTGGGGGAGATCTCATCCAGCAGTGGATTGCTAAAAGTACCACTGCACACGTACGTGGCGTGGCGGTGCTTCTTAACGATCCACACTCCACTGTAAACGAGGCAGTGCGATGGGGCGACCCTCCGGGGTTGTATAAGCGTTAGGGGCCGTCTATAAATGACGTCACGCGATTTTGGACGATTTTTGACTCTCCCCCCCCCCCCCCCCCTCGTCACAACGGCGTCACAAAAAGTCAGACCCCCCCTCAAATATGACGTCACAAAGCTCTGCCCCCCCCCCCCCAAAGTTTTTTTCATTTTGAAAATAAAACATGCTTCAAATCGTTGTTATAACGATTAGTGTTATTATCACAATTCTATATTTATTTAAAGTTGCGCATTTTTACGTGACGTCACATTTCTCAACCCCCCCCCCCCTTCGTCACACATCGTCAAAAATGTCTGCCCCCCCCC